TGCGGTAGTTGAGTGCAGGTTGCTTATCATAGCAACAGCTTTCCAGCAGCAATATGACCCGATATTGTCATCAGAAGACTTGTTTATTTTTCGTTTCTGAATTTGAAGACTCAAACGTAAGAGTAGAGTATTTTATAGTTGCCAATGCCTTTAAAATCACATCCTCAGTCCCAGTTTCTGTATGCGAGGAACCAAAGTTCCAGAGTGGCTATGTGAGAGTGTCTCCAGGAGGAACGATGTTGTTTCTGGACAGACCAGTCTGTCTCCACTTTTGATTTTTACTGCTCCAGGATGTTTAGTCCCTATTCCAGGAAGGCATGGCAAGGGTGGCCATTTCTGCCGTGACCTCATGGGGCGTTTCAGAAGTCTCACCATTCTTCACCATTGTGTTCACTGGCTCCAAGCCAGCAGACACGCATCCGAACCTCTGTCCCTGTGACCATTCCTAGCACTTCAGGGAACCGTAGCCTGGCCGTCGTTATGATAGTTCACATAAACAAAACATAATATTTTTGACAACTGCTGCAATTCCTAGGAGCACTCACATCTCTAAGGGACTACACAAGCCTTAAGATTCAGTGAAACATCAAGACGGCTTTAAAGGCGATCATATGAAAAAGAAAAAAAATATATATATATATATCTCTTCTCCAGAAAAACATCAGTCTTGGCCTGTGTGGTGGACAGAATGCTGTCACAGTGTTAACAGCAGTGAAACTAATTGTTAATCTGCTGCTGCTCTTCCAGTCAGCTACTTTTCATCAGGGCCAAAAAGAACATTCTAGCAAGACTAAAACTATCCACCTGGTTTAAAGGGGACAGATCCAGGAACACAGTGCGATTCTGAAATCTTTGGGAGTGAAAAGACATCATTCTGTTCCTTGTCCATCCCATCCAACTTTGGCCCTAGCAAGGTAGATCAAGCTTATTCGTGTTCTCTAAGCCCTTCCCAAAGATCTTTTTTCTCTCTTAGGTTTCTCAAGTTTACTTATTTTATTAATTTATTTCCCCTCGCTCAAATTTATTTAATTTTTTTAAAATTGGGAGTAAACGTGATTTTTTAAAAATATGTATAGCTGCTTTATTTATTATACCAGTATTTTCCATTGATTTTTAGAGAGAGTGGAAGAGAGAGGGAAAGACCGAAAGAAATATCGATGTGAGAAAAACACATTGATTGGTTGCCTCTTGCACACACCCTGACCAGGGCCGGAGCTGGGGAGGACCCTGCAACTGAGTCATGTGCCCTTGACCCGAATTGAACCCAGGACCCTTTGATCTTCAGGCTGATGTTCTATCAACTGAGCCACATTGGCTGGGGCTTTATTTATTTTGAATTAATCTTTATTGTTGAAAGTATTACAGATGTCCCATTTGTTTGTTTTTTCTCATTGACCCCCTTCACCCTGTACATACCCCTCCCAAGCCTTCATGCTTTATTGTCTGTGCCCATGGGTTATCCTTCCCAAAATTCTTAAAGATGAAAGAACACAGTTGAGATGCTGGTAAGAAAAGTTATTCTAAGTATAGAATTTCATCAGCATTAAGAATTTGATTATGCATGAAAGTTAAAGATTTATGCAGACACATTAGAGAAATATGTGTTCAGAATTCATAGTAAACACCAAGTGAATGATAAGCAGCCTGTTTTTGCTACATGTTCTCCCATTTATCTGCCTTGCGTGGGAGTACATGCTAAATTCTGCACTTCAAAAGAATGCCTGAGGACTAGGCCCGAATAAAAAGGGCTACAGTAAGAAGAAAAGATAAAAAGAAAAAAATAAATGGGGTAGAGTGGATTCAATCTTCTTTTCTGGACCCCAAGACAAATTAACTGAAGTGCAAAATATATTTTTAAGTCATGTTTTTCTTTGTTGGCATAATGGCAAAAATACTCTCTTGGCCAATGGGCAGGGAATAGAATACACTAGTAAAGACTCAAGTTTTTCTGTTGCCAGTTTGGCCATACGAATCAGGAACTTCAAAAACTGCCTGACTTTTTTACTCACCAACTGCACTGAGGCAATAGTCAGACAAGAGTACAGATATATAAAGATGTGCATCACAGCTTTCTTATCTTTAAATTAAATTTGCAGGGATAACATCGGTTAATAACATTACATAAGTGTCATGTGTACATGTTTGTAATAACACAAGATCATTATACACTACTGTGTGCCCACCACCTATCTAGCCTCCTTTCATCACCATGTATTTGATTCCCTTTACCCTCTTCATCTTTCCCCTACCCCCCACTCCCTTCTGGTAACTACCATACTGTTGAATCTATGAGTTTGTTTTTTGTTTGTTTGTTGCTTTCTCTTTTATAGCTCACATGTGAGGGAAATTATATGGTTCTTCTCCTTTTCCATCGAATTTATTTCACTATAATACTCGCAAGAATCACCCATGTTGTTGCAAATGGCAATATCTCATCTTTTTAATGGCTGTGTAGTATTCCATTGCATATATGTACCACATCTTCTTTATCCATTACTCATCAAAATATACTTATATTGTTTCCATGTCTTGGCTATTGTGAATAATGCTGCAATGAACATATATCTTTACCAATAAATATTTTCAAATTTTGAGGTAGATACCCAGAAGAGAGATAGCTGGGTCATGTGGTAGATCTATTCTAATTTTTGAGGAACCTCCATACTATTTTCCATAATGCTTGCATCAATTTACACTCCCACCAGCACTGTGCAAGGGTTCCCTTTACTCCATATTTCTCCAACACTTGTTATTCCTTGCCTTATTGATAATAGTCATTCTAATAGGTATGAGGTGGTATCTCATTATAGTTTTGATTTGAATTTCCCTTACAACTAATGATGTTAAGCATTTTTTCATATATCTGTTGGCTGTCTGTATGTTTTCTTTGGAAAAGTGTCTATTCAGGTCCTCTCCCCATTTTATTTTTTTGTTCTTTTTAATTTAACTTAATTTTATCTCCATTTTTTTTTAAAATATATTTTTATTGATTTTCCACAGAGAGGAAGGGAGAGAGACAGAGAGCTAGAAACATCGATGAGAGAGAAACATCGACCAGCTGCCTCCTGCACATCTCCCACTGGAGATGTGCCTGCAACCCAGGTACATGCCCTTGACCGGAATCGAACCTGGGACCCTTCAGTCCGCAGGCCGACGCTCTATCCACTGAGCCAAACCGGTTTCGGCTTATCTCCATTTTTAAATTGGACTGTTTTGTTGTTGTTGTCGAGTTGTATAAGTTATATATATATATATATTGCAGTAGATTGATTGGAAAGGTGGGTAGAAGCGTGGCAGTAGCATGGCAGTGATGTAAAGGCTTTAGATATAAGCAGACTTGGAATCATGTCTTGTTCTGCAATTAACCAGCAGGGTGTCCTAGGGGAATTTATTGGACCTCAGTCCAACTCTTTTCCTTCGTATGGATAATCAAAGGAGGTAATGAAAATAGAGTACTTAGCAATGCGATTGGCATAAAGAGATATTGAAGCTTAAAGGGACTATTGATTTTAAAAAGATATTGTTGGGTGTTATAGACTGAATATTTGTGTCCTCTGAAATTTTATATGTTGAGATCTGAATCTCAGTGTGATTATATTTGGAGGTGGAGGCCTCAAGGAGATGATTAGATCATGAGGGTTGAGCCCTCATGAATCGGATTGAAACCAGCCCGGATGACCCTCAGGGTTTTGTTGTGTTTTTTTTTGCCTGCCTCTGTGAAGCCAAACACAGGACACAGGTGCTGATGGAAGGAAAGTGATTTCTTCAGGTGCCCACCTGAAAAGCTGGCAGGCTCATGCCTTAACATCTCAGGGCAGGCAAAAGGCTTTAATAGGGGGTTTGTGGGGAGAGGGGAACTAAGGAATTCTGGTGGCATGCAGTTTTCAATTCCAGCTATCAGGTGGTTTTGATATTCTTTTTCGTGTGTGTCAGCATCTGGTGTTTGTTTTTTGTTTGTTTGTTTGTTTGTTTTTCTCTCTGCCAGTTTCATTGATGATCTCTGGGTACAGGACGTTGCAGGCCTGGCCAGCCATTGGCACCTGCTATACGCCTGTGGTCGAGGCCAGCAAAAGGGGAACTGCAACTGCTGCTGCCTGTAACATGCTTATAAGGAAACTGTCAGTATCCGTTCCTTCACCAGTTCATTCATATATTTTCTTCTAATTCCATTTCATGGGTTAGTCGGAGTAGTATAAAGCTTTTATTCCCACCCACTAGCATGGCTCAATGGTTGAGTGTCAACCTATGAACCAAGGGGTCATGGTCCAATTCCCGCTCAGGGCACATGCCCAGATTGTGGGCTCGGTCCCCAGTGGGGGCTGTGCAGGAGGCAGCAGAGGTACAGAATAATCACACTCTTGTCAAAGATATACAGATCTATATATTCATTAGTAGCTAAATAATTATTGAGCATTTACTAACTGACAAGCACTTCATTAGGCAAAGAGAAATATAATGATGAGCCCAAAATTCGATGGGCCCTGACTTCCTGGAGTCAACAGTCAACAACTGGTTACTGATTGTGATTAATTGAGTATAAAATCCCAGTGATGATGTCAGAGAGGAACGGGGTAGTGAAACGGACAATAGTAGGATTTGATCCACTCAGAAGAGCAGGGACATTTCCTAAAGAAATGGCAGTTGAGCAAAGACAGAAGGATAAGGCAGCCTTGACCAGATGAGATGGAGGTGAAAGAGGTACAGTGTACAAGCTAAGCACATTGAGTCTGGAGTCAGCCAAGTGTCCTTCCAAACCTCATTCTGCCGCTCACCAGCTCCTGTGATTCTAGGCCTGTCACGCAATCCCTCTGTCCCATAAACTTCACCTGTAAAATGGAAATATATATATATATATTTAATGATTGTTATGAGGATTGAATAATATGAAAAGTGCTTAGCATAGTACCTAATATATAGCAAATATTCAATAAGTGCTAGATAGTACTTAAGGGGAAAAAAAAGAATAGAGACCCAAGTGCAAAAAGGGAACAGTGTATGTAAAGGCCCCATGGGAGTGTAATAATAAACAAAAAGAAATGAAGCCCTGATGTACAGCGGTCTCCCCTTATCCACGGGGGATACGTTCCAAGACCCCCAGTGAATGCCTGATACCTCAGATAGTACCAAACCATATATATATATATAT